TAGGATTGAGACACCCCATTCCCATGAGGAATCGGGTGGGTAAACTTTGGGTCCCCCACATGTTTAACCAGGCAGTAAAGCCTCGTCAAAATGCCTTATCAAGGCACAACAGACCCCCATCCCCAACTGTCCGCCGATCTCAGAGCATCTCACCCGCTGCCTCCCAACAGCCCACCCCCTGCCCCGGACACAGCGTCCTCTTCAGACCCTCGCTCATATTTCCCGGCTCCCCTCAGCCCCCTCCCCAGGCTCTGCTTGCTCGGAGCTCTGTCAGGACAGGAACGTCGTGCTGTTCATTGCCAGCAGCAAGAAGATGCTCAATAAAGGCTTAATATCATGTCTTTCCTAATACTGTTTCTTCATATTCCAAGCCAGAACTGATCATTCCCTATTCCCTACCCCCAGAACATTCTCTTTGTACCTTCTACCTCCATTCTAGTCTTTCCTTCTGCCCAGCATTATCTTTGTGTGTTCTGTTTCTGTCCTGACCGCTATGCTGACTCCGCAAGGGTGGGAAGGCGCCTTTACCGTCCTCACGGCCCTGGCGCATCTGGCTGTGCCTGGTGCTCGGTGATGTTCAGCCCCGGAAGCGCTGGCTCCGTCGGGCTGAACGGAGTGTTAAGCTTCTTTTCCAGTTGCTGCGAGGCTGTCCGTCCGTAGTCTGATGCCTCTTTTGCCTAGCACAGGGCTGCGTGCACGGCCGACTCCCCACTGATCCGTGTTGACCTGTTGGTTGTTAAAGTTCCAGACAGAGTTGGCCAGCCGAGCTCAGAGTCATGCCATTTCTCTTTCTTCCTCACTGTGCCCGCCCAGACACTCCCTGAAAATAACACGTTAGAGTTTTCTGCGGCCTTGGACCAAAAGCCCCTCCCTCTGTCATCTCCCATTCTAATTCTCCCAGCCCCCTTTGGGTTTCTGGAATCTGGAGTGTATGTGCACACGTGTGTTTGTGTATGTGTATGTGTGTATGCATGAGAGAGAGAGAGTGCATGCATGTGTGCACGTGCAATTTCTCAGTTCCCATGGTAACCAAATTCTTTGTTCGGAATACCAAGCTCTGACCTTGGGTGACATAAAATACAGCGCCCTGGAGGAGAGCTTCTTTGAAGATGAGGGATTCGTTGGAAACTCATTAACAGGCTCACAAAAAATAATGTGCATAGTTTGTGTTGATTTCGTTTTGGGAGCTCAAAGCACTTTACGAGCATCCTTTACCTCTCGCTTAGCATGCTCGGGAGCGCGGGGAGCCGCGGGCGCTTGGTCGTCCCCCGTGCACAGGTTGGAAGCCGAGGCAGGAAGGAATGAGGCAGCTTGTCCGTGTACACAAGCTGAGTCAGCCAGAGCTGGGCTGCTCCATGTGCCAGGGCCGTGTTCCTGGGAGGGTCTGGTTTCCTGGCGTGTGCGTGGCTTTGCGGGGGGTGGGGCGGTCAGGGTGAGGTGGTTAACTCAGCAGAGAGGGGAGCACATGTGTCTGTTCCGTAGCCCACCCGGCTGTGTGTGTTTTCCAGTAAAATGCTCCCATGATGAAGCAATAGGGAAATTTTTGTCTTCATTACAAGCATCTCAGTCTGCCTGGAAATAAATATCAGGAGTCAAGGGTTTTCCAGAAGGGAATTGTAGGAACCCCTGAGGGATGACATTCTCCATTACGCTCTCTGCTAGTGTCCTTGTGCTTCTTAGCCCCTTCTCGGTGTCCCTTGCCAAGTCCTCTTCCTCCACCCACCACTTAGATATTAGGATTCCCAAGAGCAATCTTTTTTTCTTTTTTTAAAAATTTTTTTAGAGACAGGGTGTCATTCTGTCACCCAGGCTGGAGTGCAGTGGCACGATCATAGCTCACCGCAGCCTCAAACTCCTGGGCCCAAGCAATCCTTCTGCCTCAGCCTCCTAAGCAGCTGGGATTGCAGGTGTGCACCACCACACCTGGCTAACTTTATTTAATTTTTGTAGAGACGGATCTCAATGTGTTCAGGCTGGTCTTGAACTCTTGGCCTCAAGCAATCTTCCCACCTCGGCCTCCCAAGTAGCTGGAATTACAGGTGTGCACCACTGTGCAAAGAGCAACCTTCTGACCCTCTGTTCATGCATCTCTCCCTCATGTCACTCCTTGCCATGGCTGTAGCCAGCACCTATTCACTGGGACTCCCAAGTTCTCTTTCCCTAGATCATCACTTTCCCCAGTCCATATCTCCGACGCCAGTTCTGTCCCAAGCCTAAGGAGGCACACATTTAGATATTCAGTAATTGGTGCATGAATGTATTTCACAGAGGCACAATAATATCAACATGCCCCCAAACCAAACCCCTACCCAGCCCTCCTGTTCACAATCCCTATTCTGGTCAGAGGCATCTGCCTCCACCTGGAGGCTTAGCTGGAAGCCCTGGAGAGCCCTGACTCCTCTCTCTCCCTTCCCTCTTCGGTCCAGGTCTTCATCCTTGGCTGTCCCTGCACTCCAGTGACTCCTCGTCTCTCAGTGCTTTGCCGTTGCCCCGTCTCGCCACTGCCTTCTAAAACACAATCTGATCCTGCTTTAAAGCCCTTTCTTAGGTCCCCCTGTGCATCTAGGATCTGGTTCAAATGCTTTAGCTTGGCGTTCAAGGCCCTTCCCATCTGGCTCCAGCTGATGCACTTTTCCTGTTTGCGTTCCCACCCACCCCCTATAGCGTATGCACAGACGTTTATTATACGAATGAGTGAGTGAGTGAACATGGGGGCAAACAGACTCATCGAAACACTTAACTCACTAGCAGGTCTTAAGTGCTGTCATCTTAGGTCTGTCAACCTGAAGACAGCCACTCTTATTGTTTCTCCCAGAATCATTCTTTAGCTGAGGGGTCTCACGCGGTGGGCATTGTGTTAGGTGCTCAGGATAGAGCAGTGGGCAAAAAGTGACAAAAATCCCTGCCACTGTGGAGCCTGTATTCTACCAGGGGACACAGACCATAAAAATGAACATAGTAAGTAAAGTGTATAGTATGTTAGGTGGTCATGGGTGCTGTTTAAAAAAGGAAGGAAAGAAAAAGAAAAATTGGAACAAAGGAAGAAGACTGGGAATGGGGTTGGGGCGTGGGGTTACCGGTTTTGAGAGCAGGCCTCTTGAGAACGTGAGAACTGTTAACTGAGCTGGTTCATGGTACCACTTTAGATGACCATCGTGTCCCCCACCTCAGAGTCAGGGGGTTGAAAGTCTGCTCTGAGCAAATCGCCAAGTAACAATAATAGCTCCTGCTGGCTGAGAGCTCACTGTGTCACAGGCACCAGGCTGAGCAGTGTACACAGTCTTCTCTTTAAACTTTACAATAGGCTTCGAAGATTGATGCGGTCCCCATCCTACTGTAACAGATGAAGGACCTGAAGATTCAAGAAATTAAAGAATTTGCCCAAGACCATGGTCCAGAAAGGGCGGAGCTAGCATTTGAGCACACATTAGCCATTTTGCCTCCCACTGATGGAGGAAGACATTTGGGGACCAGCTCTTTGGACCTTTACAAAATGGGTACTTAAAGAGCCAACACTGTCCCTTTTCACAGAGCACAGCTCAGGGTCACAGCAGAAGTAGGGGCTGCGGGGAGCACTGCACACCTGCTCCCCCATCCAGCGTCTGCTTCATTTGGGACAGAGGTTCTCCATCTAAAGACATTCTTTGTAAAAAAACAAAACAAAACAAAAATACGCCATTGTTGCAGGCTTTTATTGCCAGAAAAATCCTTCATGAATGTTCGTTCTCTGTCTCTTAATCCATTTCCTCTCGTCTGGGCCTCAGTGAGGCTAGAGCCCAACCATCTTCATCTGCCTCATGATCTCTCTTCAGTATGTCTGAAGAGCGAAGCCTCCTCTATTTGAGATTGGTCTCGGCTCCATCCATGTTCTATAGCTGTTGTCTAAGACATTAGAATAACCAATTTCTTGCAAATGAAATCCTGGGTGTTTTCACCTCAGTGATCCTGTACCCAGCGTGCTGAATGCTTGCCGAGAATGACTAACCACTTATAAAAGAGGAAAGCGTGATTCAGAGGGCTCCACCAAAAGTAATGCATTATTTGGCCTAATCTTGGCCTGGTGCAAATTCAGACTTTTGAGTCATAAAGCTCATTAGAAATGGGGATGTATTTGACTCTAATAAAGATTTTAGTGTGACCCAGATTTAGAGTGGTATGTTTAGGGTAGGCTACAGGATGAATTTTGGAACAGAGGCAGATGACATAAGGGGGAAAATAATAATCTTGAAAAGGCAGGCTTTATTGGTTCTCTGTCCCCAACTTCTGCCACCAGGAGAAATGCCACATTTAGAAAATGTCTTTTATTAGAAAAAGAAGGCTTTGATGATTTGCACAGAAGAAGGGATTTATTACAAGGGACTTCTTTATTTGGGGCATGTTTAAAGCTTGCATAAGGGTCTTCCCAAGACTTCCCTGGGTCCGTGCCTTTGGTAGCTCTGGTTTTTAATGAAGCTGCTACATGTCACTGCTGTGATGTGCTGGGTCCTTACAGCTGCTCTGCCATGGAAGGAGCATGAGCAACCTCGCTTACGCTGCAGTTCCACCCTAACCCCACTTTGTTCTTCCTTTTTCCCAAACCGGTGGCAGAGGCAGAGAAGAAGCAGGGCTGTAGAGGGAGCTAGAGAGAGGGGTGAAGGCACGGCCATGGGGCAGCCAGCCCACCGTGGCCGTGGGAGATTTCAGGAAGGAAAGGGAAGCTTACATTTAGTATGTGACGACTGTGTTTCAGGCCTGCATTAGTGTTTTCACATCCATTATTGCATTTAATGCTCGTAACAACTTTGGAGGAAAGAGAAAATATATCCCCTTTTGACAGATGAGGAAACTGAGGCTCAGAAAGGTCAAATCCACCCATGTAGGAAGTGGCGAATCCGTCCCCATCTCACCAATATAGCGTGCTTGCCCCAACAAGCATGGCGAGGGACTCCTTTGTTTTCATGATTCTGCCTCTCTCACAGGTCACGTCCTTTCCTGACCTGCCCTTGCTCTCGTATCCCCAGGCAGTTCGGTGGCTATGCCAAGGAGGCAGACTACGTAGCTCACGCCGCCCGGCTGCGTGCCGCCCTGGAGGGCACAGCCACCTACCAGAAGGACGTCTACTTCTGCACCGGGTATGACCCTCCCATGAAGCCCTACGGGCGGCGCAACGAGATCTGGCTGTTGAAGACATGAGGGACGTGCTGGGCCAGGAGCTCCCCGGAAGTGTGTCTCTGTGTCCCCCACTCCGGGGGCTGGTGGGGACAGTGCTTCCTGAGTTCCAGCAGCAATTCCAACTTAACCGACTTCCCCTCAAAGCCATCTACTGCTAATTTTTGAAATAAGCATGTTCTGTATACTGAGGCTCTTCTCATGGTGGGAAATAACACAGCTGGGACAGGCAGCATCCTTCTCATTGATTTAGAGAGTTCTGTGGTAGACCAGAAAACCCTGTCAGCATTTTCCCAGCCATCTAGGTCACTAAAAACTGATTTTTTAAAAAATTTTAAATTTGTGTTTTTGTCATTGAGGGACAACTGTGATTTATGCATGATCTCTCATCTGTAATTCTTACAACAGCTTTGTCTAAAATGAAAACAGAAATAAAAATCTTTGACTTAAACAACTGGGACAAATCCTACGTATAATTATTTCCAAGGTTCTACAGTCTTATAAGTCACATAGCTATGAGTACTATTGTTGGGGTTTACTGCTGCAGGAATCTTATATTTACAGTTCCAAAGACCTTCAGAATATAAACCCAAAGGTCCCGGGAGGGATGACATGCAGCCCAAGCTTGAACGTCCCTAAATTAGACACTTACTGTGACTGTTATGTAGCACTTCCATGATCGTAAGTTGAGGATCACGTTTGCAGCTGTGGTCCGTGAAGGGTTCCCGGAGTCCCAAGAGCAGACAAAGGAGAAAAACCACTGCACTCTGATACACAGACAGCCTGGAGGTGGGGAATTTGCTAGGAGGGTTGGACTAGGGCAGTGGGGTTAGAAGAACTTGGGGTCTGGTTTTATGAACTGAAGAGGACAGAAATGAGAAACAGTGTGCAGTTTGGCCTGCAGAGAAGGAAGGCTCTCACACAAGGCTGTAAGAGGGACGGGACAGGAGCTGGGCTGGGGCAGAGTTTGTGGGGAGCAGCGAGGACGGAAGAGCTCGGTGGGCCCCAGGACATGTAGAGGGTGCACCAGCGCCCAGCCCTGCCAGCAGCTCTCCCTGGGACAGCTGCAAAGGTTTTCCAAGAGAAACCCACCTCACCACCCACCCACGGCCCATCCGCCATTACATAAGAAACAGAAAAATGAGCTTTAATCCTCACTGTGAAGGGTTCTTACTAAGCATAAAGTGGGTTTCCTAAGGAGAAGAAGGAGAGCTGCCATCACCTTTTCCTGGAGGCCTTGCAGCAGTTTCTTCTGAGAGATGTGCCATGACCTTTTCGAGATCAAGGGTAAAGGGCCACAGAGTGAGACCCGGTCTCAAAAAACAAAACAGTCATGAGACTAAGTGGAAGATGATGGAGGCTGAAACCAGAATCATGGCAGTAGGGCTGGAGATGGTTTGGAGCAAGGTATGGGGTCAACAGGACCTGGCGATTGACAGGTGAATGAAGCGAGGGAGAAGGTTCAAAGGGGATCAGGACGTTACCCCAAAGTATGCCACTTTGGCATACTGATTATTTTGAGCTGAAGGCAATTGAGAAACAGCAGGTACAGGAAGGGTTCTCTGCCCTCCCCTTTTCTACCTAAAAGCAGTTTGTAACTTTCCGCTGAGAAAGGTGCTGTCCTTGTACTAGGAAAAGGAGAACACCCTTAATCAGCAGGGATGGGGAATCGATGCCAAGGCGAGTCTGTACAAGCAAACCTTACTAAAATTACCCTTCTCTTCCTTAGTTTTCCCCATGTGTTTCCCAGACACTTTCCCACAATATACCACTCTCCCAGCCCCAATCCCTTTTTCCTTTGTCTTGTCGTGTCTCCACAATGTATTGATCTTTGTTAAAATGGTATATACACCTCAGGTCCAAATGCTGCTTTAGGGTTTTCATTTCTTTCTACGAAGCACCACCCCCATGCCACATGGAAATGTTAACATCAGATTAAATTTATATACTTTTTCTCCTATTAATCTCTTTTGTCAGTTCAATCCACAAGCCACAGAACTTAAGAGGATAGAGGAAAAAGTCCTTCCTCTCCTACAGGGCCAAGTCCAACACCCAGGGTCTCGGCTTGGGCAAGGATGTGGGTGGGGCTGCCACTCACTGGGGTGGGCACACAGGTGAGAAGCAGGTGGACTGGGGAGCAGAATCCACAGGGCATATTTAGGCCTGAGGTGCATCCAAGCAGGCTGTCTAGTGAACAGGTGCAAATATGGGTCTGATGCTAAAAACAGAACCTGACCTGGAGATGTAAGTTTGGATGTCACCAGTGTATAGGCAGAGTGGCTGAATTGTGGACCCTCCCAGGGAGAGGCTGTGGAGTAAGAAGAGAAGAGAACCTAGGTCAGAACTCAGAGGAACCTTAATATTTAGAGACAAGCAGAGGAAAAGAGCCTGACACAGATCAAAAAGAAACAGCTGCTAGTGGTACAGAAGAAATGTGAAAAAATCCGAAAGGAAGAGGTCATCAGTGAGTACTAAACACTTACCTGGTGAGTGCTGCCAACCTGAGTCCTGATAATCCTGAGGCCGTCTCTGCTGGTCCATCCCAGAACACATCACCATCGTTCTTACCTGAACTCCTCCAACAGCCTCCTCACTGGTCTCCACATTTCCCTCCTACCTCCCTGTGGTCCACTATCTACGTTAGAACCTTCATTTTGCACGTGGACTAAAATTCAGGCTCCATTTCCTGACCTGCAAGGCCTTGTGTGATTTGGTCCCTGACCACTTCTCCAACTTTCTTTCCAGTCTCTCCCTTACTGCCCTCCTGCCACAGAGGCCTTCTACTTCTTTGAACACACGGAGCCCTTTTTGCTCTGGGGTCCTGCACTATCTGTTATGTTTGCCTGAAGCCCTTGTCACCTCCTTTTCAAATGGCTGGGTCTTCTCCTCCCACAGGTCCTGACTTGGCCCCCTCCTTCTCAAAGAGGCCTTCAACGCCCCGTCCGGCTAAAGGAGGGCCCCACCTATAGTTCTCCACCACGGCATTGTATTTTTGTTTCTCTTCATAACACAAACCACCATACGCAATTTGGGGGCTCATTCAAGTTTCCCGTCATCTTTTTCTGTCCCTCCCACTAGTTTGCACGTTTGGTAAGAAGGAGGCCCGCACCTGTTTGCCCAGCACGCAGCTCAGGGATGTGTCATTTAGAAATGCACTAAGCTGTAACAGAAAACTTAACCAAGAGTAGCTTAAAACAAGAAGGTTTTCTTTTGCCACACAGCAGGAAATCCAGAGGTAGGGTCAGCGGCTCGATGCTGACATCTGTGCTCTTTCCCTCCTGGCTGCAAGACGACAGGTGTGGCTCCTGCCATCCCATCTGTGTTCAGACATGAAAATGCGGAGAGGGGGAAAGCCTGCATTCACTGCGTCTGTTCCATTTGATGGAGAAACAAAAGCTTTCTCAGGGGTCCCTCCGTCAGAGTTCCACTTACATCTCAAGGGCCGAAACTGACACGCAGGGCCACCTACAGCAGGAGGAAGGTGCAGAAAATGCGTGGTCGGCTCTGCAGCTCCACAGCGAGGAGCAGCAAGGGAGATGGATGTTGGAATGGCTTCGCGGTCTCGAACCAACAGTGTGTTCTGCAAGGGGACGATGAAAGGTGTGTGTACCTGGGGGCCAGAGTTTGGGAAGGTGGGAGACAGCTGGAGACATGGGTGAGGCCAGATCACGGGCGAGGGGGACTTCAAAGACTTTAAATCTACATTCTCCCTTCTGAGCCGAGGCATGTGGCTCAGGGGCGCTTGGCAGCGTCTCCCGCTTCCCGCGTCTCTCCTCTCCCGCTTCGAAAACGCAAAATGGTGGAGCATGGTCAGCGGTGAAGAAGGGAGGGTGGTTTTCAGTCCCCACCCTGCAGTGAGGCCACGGGGTGAGTGGGTGAAGATGAGAGGGTGAATTAAGAGAAGGGGGTGTCTGGCGCTAAGGAAATGAAGGGAGTTTATCTTCACTCTGGATTTAATAATGAAAAGCAGAACCACAGAGACCAGGGTTCCTAACTGACCATCTGTGGACTAGTAAGGTAATCTTTTTTCCCACCCATTCTCTGGTCAATATCTTTCTCAAAATACAAGTTGATGAAAAAACCCTCTGGCTCCATCCCGCTCCTCCTCTCCCTAGGGTCTGCAGTACAGCAGGTGGCTAATATTTTAGATCGTTGTATAAATTAAGTTGGAAAACTAACCAGAAAAGTACAAATATTAATAAATATCTAAACTGCATCCTGGTTTTAATGCTCAGGATCCTGGCCTTAAGGCTGCAACCTCCGCAGACCTGCTTTTACAAGGAGGCTTTGCCTGTCCCCGGAAACCCTTTTCCTGTGGCTCGAATATTCCTCACGTGTCTTGTGAGCAGTAAAAGCTGTTCTGTATGTGCCACAGCACAACACTGCACGCACATGCCTGCGTGGTGCGTGATTGTGTGTGTACATACAGTGGATGGAGCACCTGGCTGAGCTCAGGGAGGTAGCCGGTCATCGCTTGTCCAAGAAAGACCTCCTTCATTTACATTTGGCTTCTCCACTCTTGAGTAATGTCGCTTTGATCTTGGGCACAGTAATTAACGTTTTATAGCGTGCCACATTGATGGGTATGTATTTGATTGAATGCCATGGATTTTGCCTTGTAATTTTTATTTTTGACTAGCTCTAGGCTTTTTCTTTAGAAATATTTTTGTTTCCATAGCAACATTATTCTCTAGGAATTCGGGGACAGACCCATACAATATCCACAAATGCAGAATCAAGAATCAAACCGTGTAGGGCAGAAATGGACTAAAGGTATGGCAAGAATTGGTGTGGGCTGTGTAGAGCCATCTCGTGATCAAACTTCAGGGAAAATACCTCGTCTGTCTTTGGCAATGAATTCATTAGACCCTCATCAAAGTCATTTCATGAGCTGGCTCAAACCCTAGCCTCTTCTCGTAGCGTGCCTCTTCCTCTCTTCTGGGTTCCTCATCCTCCAGGAGCACTGGATCATTGCCGGTTCCTCTGGGACGCTCCCACTGTTCCTCCTGCACACTTTAACCCACAGCGCTCCCACACCTGGAATCCTCTGTCCACCCTCTACCCATCCCTGCAGTCCAGCCTAAAGCCTTTGAATTTGTCCCCGATCCCTCCGGGAACACCACTCTTCCTCTGTGATTTATAATCTCCACCTCACCCTGTAGCACAGGGATGTGTGCACAGTAGATGCTCAGTTTTATTAATGTAGACTGGCTGGAATTTTTTAAGATAACAGCTATTGACAGCTAACATTTATTGAGCATTCACCGTGTCCCAGG